CCATCTGTGACTGGGCACCAATGACTTCAGCGTGTGGACAGACTGGTGTCAGAGACCTATGTCTCCATCTCATTGTCTTGTCCTAGAACTTCTCTTGGCTTTATAAATAGCTGTGAACCCTCATCTGAGGGATAAATAGCAGGTGATGAGGAGGGGTAATTTTATTTTTCTTCTCAGGAGGGGATTAGCTGAGGAAATGTCAACCTCAACTTGTGCCATTCTTTATAAAATGATGTTAAAGGCAAGAGGTGGTAGTGGGAGTGGTGGGGTCTTAAATAAGCTGACCTACATGCCTGTTCTCCAGTCTGGTCCCTCCCTCCAGACCCAGGTTTCCAGCTCAGCAATCCATCAACATTATAACCCAGGAGGGTTCTAGCCCTCACCCAGCTTGTCCCCAGACTGAGCTGTCCCCTACTGAGGATGGTGAACTGAGAGAGAAAACCCCAGGAACCCCTACTGAGGGATCCTCAGGCTAAGCTCCACCGCGATGTTCTGGACTGGGGTCTTTCCTCACCAGAGACACCTCACAGGGGACATTAGATTGAGAGACTGCATCTGGGAGACTGGCTGACTGAGCACATCCCTCTGGAAGGCACTTGGCACAGAGACCCTGGAAGAGGTCAGGATGTCAGAGAGACCCTTTGGAGCTTCCCAGTGGCCTCTAGTGCTGACCCCTCCCCCAGCATCAGCAGCTCCCTCCGCACTCCCACCTCCCCTTGCCGACCCCTAGTGGCGCCTGCTGCAGCCCTCCCTACTCCCTTTATTTATTTATTTTGCACCAACAGGGTTGCTGCAGACTCATTCTCGCCTGGTTTAAAAAGAGAGAGAGGAAAAAAAAAAAAGGGAGAAATGCTTTCTGGCTCTTTTCTCTACCTCAGTCTTGGCAGCAGCGGCCACAGAAGCGGCAGTGGCAGGCAGCGGGGAGTGAGGCACCTGGGGGGCGGGGGGTAGGTGAGGGGCCTGGGGTGCAGTTCAGATGGGACCGGGGTCCCTCCAGCCCTGGACAGATGCAGTGCTCAACTTGATGCCACCCTCCTGTTTTTCCGGTAAGTGTCCCTAACCCCTATCCCAAAGCTGCAGCTGCTCTTTTTCTATAACATTCTCGGAGACAAGATCAGACCCAGGTGCCTGTCAAGGCAGAAGGGTTTGTGTTACAACCGCCCCTGCAAGCCAACCATAAATCATGGTCCCATGGGATTTTGACTGGGAAACTGAAATGTCCCAGGAGGACTCCAAGGAGACCTTCCGTCCCTCACTCTGCCTCCATCTCCTCAGTGCTTACTTTGCCTGTGGGAGGGGGTTGCTAGCAACCAACCTGATGTATTCTAGAAGAACCCCTTCCCCACATAGGACCCCAGGCCTCAACCAGAGATTCTTTTTAAAGAGGCTATTCAGGCTCATATGTGTCTCTGGACTGATAGTTAAGGACAAGAAGAGGGAAGCTCCCCCATCCCTGAGTTGGTGATGCCCCAGACCCCCCTCCCTATCTAAGGAAAGAAAGAAGGGGCCTTGACACCTACCTGTTCCTGCAAAGTGGATGGAGCCAGTCCCGTAGCCACGGAGACTGGCAAGAAAAGTTTGTGATTAAATTATCCACCTTATAAATAAAAAAAAGAGATTAGCCCCAGATCCCCCAGTACCTGGCCCAGCAGGCTTTTCAGACTGAGAGGAAACTCACAGGAGTGACAAGGACGGAAGCTGGGTGACATGCTTCACTGCACTTCTGCTGGACGCAGAGTAAGAAGGATGAGCAGGAACTGCAGCAGCACTGATGAAGAGCTAGCTGTCAGATGGACTTCCCAGAACAGGCACAGGAGGCTGGGGCATTTCTCTCCCTGGAGGTCTCTCAGCATGCTATAGATACCTGTTAGGCTGCGAGAGGGGCAAGCGGAGTCTGGCCAGCAGCCTTTGCCCCTTGCCCTTCTTTCTCATCCACAAACCTAAGAACGATTTCCATGGACTCTGTCCTCTCTCTTTACTGTTCTGGCCTCTATCTTCAATTTCCCAATTACTAGAGTCCTCTGAAGTGGCTACAGGATAGCAGCCAGAACAATTCTTCTAGAGGCAGGTATACAGTGGAAAGGAGAAAGGAAGAAACCACACTGCCTTTTAAATTGCTCTCTCCTAAGTACAATGGTGGTACAGGGAGTGGAGGAAGAGACAGGGCGTGTTGTAGAAAGCTGACCCTGTAGGGCCCAGAAAGCCTAACAATCATGGGCTCTGCCCAAAAGTTCAGGATCTAAAGCTAGGAAGAAACCTTCCCAGGGGGCATCATTTGGCTCATGCGCCTATCTTTTTAGCCATTCCTTGCCAATTATAATACTTCCCCTCCTATAAGGCCCTCTGGCAGTGAACAGGGTAAGAGGAGGGGCTCTTGCTACCTCTAGGACTCCTTCTCCTCCATCACCTCAGTCAGTCTCCAGTGGTCGTCATGGTCACCATCTTCCTGATACTGCCCTGGTTCTTGGTACCCAGAAACTCACTATAAGAGCCAGTGCCAGGTTATCTTCTGTGCCAGCCAAGGGCTCCCTTCCTCCCCACCCCACAGCCTCTGGTCAGATACTGCCTCTCCTCACTTATCTCCCTGGTTCACATACATTATATTATCTCTTATGTATTGCTCGGGTAGCTGAGACCAAAGGGGATAAGAGATCTCCCTCAGACTCAGACACTGAACTTGAATTAAAACTCCATCAGTGTCTCAGAGGACAACTTAGTCATTTGGCATAGCATAGTTCAAAAGGATAATGTTCCATATCCCAGTTCAGTGAGTAGTGTCTGGGGTTTTAAAAGCTTGTGAGCAGCCATCTAAGATACAACTATTGGTCTCTATTCATATGGAGCAAAAGGGAGTGAAGTAAATAAAAAACCCAAAGGAAAAACTAGTGCAAAGGACTAATAGGCTACACGAACCACAACTTTTTCAACCCTGAGATCCAGAACTAGATAGTACCCAGCTACCACTACCAACTGTTCTGACCTGGGACGCAAGAGAAGGTGCTGGGTAGAATGGGACAAAAATATATAATAACACACAAATTTCTAAAGAAGGCCAGGCCTACTGATAGAAACCAGAGGAACCCCTGAGACTATCGCCCTAAGAAAACCTTTGAACTTGGAATTGAAGCTATTTCTGCAGATCACCTTTCAGCCAAAGAATAGATTGGCCTATAAAATAAACAATATCACCTGTGAGAAATGTGCTCCCTTAAACAATCAACTATATGGGACCAAATAAATGGTCAACATTTACCCAAAAGCAAAGATGAGAAGGCAAGAAGGGGAAGGAAAGTTAGATCAATGGAAACAGAACAAACAGAATGGAAATAATAAGAATGCTGACACACTGTGAAAACTGTAACCAATGGCACAGAACAATTTGTATAAAAATTATTAAAGGGGAACCTAATTTGCTGTGTTAGAAACCCAAGGAGGGGTCGCTATGAGTCGGGTCCAACTCCATGGCACATAACAACAACAATTTGCTGTGTAAACTTTCACCTAAAACATAATAAAATATTATTTTAAAAAGTAATATAAGGAGATGAACATTTATAGGCAACCACACACGAACACATACATTTTGTTAGGAAGGAATAATTGTAAGTAATTTTTCTGTAATTCTCAAGTATTTGTAATGCTGTTGTATTATCTTTATGATAAAAAAGAAGTAACATTAAAATAAAGAACACTATATTAGTGAGGGATCTAAGAGAAGCCTAACACTGAAAACCCAGTAACAAAACTCAAAACTTGGCCATCTCTTGGGTCCCTCACCTATCCCATCATTTATCTATATGGGAGAAGGGGTTGCCCTTGGGATTGTAGCTGCAGGGTAAGGGATTCCCAGCTTCCCAGTCAAGTCCCCCCCCTGCATCCTTTATCATGGCTAATGTGTAGCTTGGTCACCATCCCTACAGGCATTCTGGGGAGATTGAATCTTGCTATTCCAGGGTCTAAGGACCTCTGGTAGTATAGTGCCTAAGGCACTTGACTGCTAACCAGAAGGCTGGCGGTTCAAACCCACCAGCCACTCCTTGGAAGGAAGATGGGGCAATCTACTTCTGTAGTGATACTGTCTCAGAAACCCAAGGAGGGGTCGCTATGAGTTGTGGCCGACTAGATGGCACATAACAACAACAACAACAAATTCCAGGGCTTCAGACCATGGACCAACCTGTAAGAGGGGAGAGACAGTAAATGGAGATTAGGGGGCATGAGGGGACTGAGCTCAGGCATGCATGTTTCTCAGCTTTGAATAACTTAGTCAACGTGACGGCCTCTCTCCAATCAGGGCAGAGAGCTCAGGGCCAAGGCTGCCAACCCACTAAGCAAAGCTATGGGTAGAAGCAGCAACACAATGCTCACACTTCACACTGACTAATACGGGGAACAAGGATGGGCAGAGAGAGGCAGAGTACAACTTGTTGTTGTTGTTGTTGTTGTTATGTGCGGTCAAGTCGGACTCGATTCATAGTGAACCCTCCTTGGGTTTCCGAGGCAGTATCACTACGGAAGTAGATTGCCCAACCTTCCTTCAGAGGAGTGGCTGATGGGTTTGAACCACCAGCCTTCTGGTTAGCAGTCAAGTGCCTTAGCACTATGCTACCAGAGCTCCCAAGCACAACCTGGGGAGAGTGAATATCAGGGAGAAAGGACCTGTCGTATTTCTGGATCCCACAAACATAGGGGAAAGCCCATTACAGGGAGACTCAAAGTCACTTCCCTGCCATGTCCTGCCCTATTCCCCTAAAACTTTCTTACTAGTTCTGTGAGCTAGTAAGCACTTGGGATGCTGTCCAGAGCTAGAAGAGGGAGGAAAGAAAATGTTCCCCAAAGAGAAGCCCCAGAAGGCCCCAGGGAGGTGGTGTACCAGAATTCTGTCTGGTCCTGTGCCCACTTGTTGGCAGTGCTGATGGACAGGCCAATCTCTCCCTCTTCTGAGGCAGCCCAGGGAAGCCCAGGGTTACCATCATCTGAAGTCACTTCCCAAACAGGGCCATGTTGTCATCTGTTCCAGGACTGAAGAGGGGATGGATGCAGCCACAGCTCCAAAGCAAGCCTGGCCCCCATGGCGCCCCCTCCTGCTCCTGCTCCTCCTGCCTAAAGGTAGCAGTGGTGGCTGCCCTGCCATCTGTGACTGTACCTCCCAGCCCCGTGCTGTGCTCTGTGCCCACAGGCGACTGGAGGCTGTACCTGGGGGACTCCCACTGGACACAGAGCTCCTGGACCTGAGTGGGAACCGCCTGTGGGGGCTGCAGAAGGGGATGCTCTCCCGCCTGGGCCTGCTCCGGGAACTGGACCTCAGCTACAACCAGCTCTCCACCCTTGAGCCAGGGGCCTTCAATGGCCTACAAAGCCTACTCACTCTGAGGCTACAGGGCAATCGGCTCCGAATCATGGGGCCAGGGGTCTTCTCAGGCCTGTCAGCCCTCACACTGCTGGACCTCCGCCTCAACCAGATTGTCCTCTTCCTAGATGGAGCTTTTGGGGATCTAGGCAGCCTCCAGCAGTTGGAAGTTGGGGACAACCACCTGGTGTTTGTGGCACCAGGGGCCTTTGCAGGGCTGGCCAAACTGGGCACTCTCACCCTTGAACGCTGTAATCTCAGCACAGTACCTGGCCTAGCCCTTGCCCGTCTCCCAGGGCTGGTGGCTCTGAGGCTTCGAGAACTGGATATTGGGAGGCTACCCACAGGGGCGCTCCGGGGACTAGGACAGCTGAAAGAGCTGGAGATCCACCACTGGCCGCCTCTAGAGGCTCTGGAGCCCGGCAGTCTGATGGGGCTCAACCTCAGCAGCCTGGCCATCACTCGCTGCAACCTGAGCTCGGTGCCCTTCCAAGCATTGCACCACCTGAGCTTCCTCAGGGTCCTGGATCTGTCTCAGAACCCCATCTCAGCCATCCCAGCCCGGAGGCTCAGCTCCCTGGTGCGGCTCCAGGAGCTCCGCCTGTCGGGGGCATGCCTCACCTCCATCGCTGCCCATGCCTTCCACGGCTTGACTGCCTTTCACCTCCTAGATGTGGAAGATAATGCTCTTCAGACTCTAGAGGAAACAGCCTTCCCTTCACCAAACAAACTGGTCACCCTGAGGCTGTCTGGCAACCCCCTGACCTGTGACTGCCGCCTCCTCTGGCTGCTGCGGCTTCGGCGCCGCCTGGACTTTGGCACATCCCCCCCTGCCTGTGCTGGCCCCCAGCATGTCCAGGGGAAGAGCCTGCGAGAATTTTCAGACATCCTCCCTCCAGGGCACTTCACTTGCAAACCAGCCCTGATCCGAAAGTCTGGGCCACGATGGGTCGTTGCAGAGGAGGGAGGGCATGCTGTTTTTTCCTGCTCTGGAGATGGAGACCCCATCCCCACTGTCTCCTGGATGAGGCCTCAAGGGGCTTGGCTGGGAAATGCTGGGAGGGTAAGGGTTCTAGAGGATGGGACCCTGGAGATCCGCTCAGTGCAGCTACAGGATAGAGGGGCCTATGTCTGTGTGGTCAGCAACGTAGCTGGGAATGACTCCCTGAGGACCTGGCTGGAGGTAATCCAAGTTGAACCACCAAATGGCACTCTCTCAGACTCCAACATCACCATGCCAGAGATCCCAGGGCCTTTCTTTCTGGATAGCAGAGGTGTGGCTATGGTGCTGGCAGTTGGCTTCCTCCCCTTCCTCACCTCAGTGACCCTCTGCTTTGGTCTCATTGCCCTTTGGAGCAAGGGTAAGGGCCGGGTCAAACACCACATGACCTTTGACTTTGTGGCACCCCGATCCTCTGGGGATAAGAACTCTGGGGGTAATCGGGTCACTGCCAAGCTCTTCTGATCTTTCCTTCCACATTGGGGGCCCAGTCAAGCCAGCTTTGGATACCAACGAGGAAGTGAAGCAAGGCTACTTGGACCAGAAAATAGTCCCAACTGACACAGATCTCTAACACCTCCTGCCTGCACTGTGCCAGCAAGTAATGAGGCCTCCTGAAAGAGCCTGAGAACAACACTGTCCTCTCTTCCCTGAGGGCCCGAGGTTGCTGAAGATATTACAGACCCTATCATCAGCCCAGTCTTCTTCATCCATTTCCCACACCTACACCACACACATACACAAAGCAAGAAACATAACCAAGGCCCTCAGGCTCCAGTCTGCTTGTCTAAACACTTGGCTTTCTTCATACACACTTACAACCCTTGATAACTACTAACAGTTGCCAACCACAGCTATAAGATAATTTCACAGGAGCGCTACTTGCTCCTTTTGAGTCTCTGCTCTTCTCCTCAACCAGACTGACTTCAGGTGGACCCAAAAACCCTTAAAACAAAGAAGAGGATGTGAGTGTGGGTTGGGGGTGGGGGGACAGACTACACACTAGCATTGTCTGCATGAGCCGCTGCCACCTGCCTCTGTCTTTCAGATCATTAAACCTGCTGCCAAAAAGCCATGGCAGTAGCAGCCCAATCTACACATGATCTCTGGAGTTTTCGTGACATCAGTATACTTCTACCCCTGGCTTCTGTCAACTCTTCCCCTTCCTATCCCAATGGCCTTCTTGCCTCATATGATTTATGGAAAAGAAGGAGGTCGGTCTGCCTTGCCTGGAGAGATCAGCAGCCCTAGCCCCAGTTTCAGTCTCTACCCTCTCCCTCACCCTCTCCATCTCTGGGACTGGAGGACAGACCGTCCACCTTTCAGGGGATCCCCAGCTTCTCCCCCTTCACTGTCATTTCTTGATGGGCTCTCTTGATCATTCCCGCGCCCTATAGCTCCCTAGTGCCCTTGGGGGAGAGCAAGGGAATGCCTAGAAAATGACTAACCGAAGCAAGAATCTGCTGTTGTCAAAGGAGAGAGACCCGGAACACAGCAGCATCTAGGCTTGGAAGAACAAGGGAGGGGGCCCAGCAAGCTGTAGTGAAAAGTGGATGAAAGAGCAAGCAGCAGCAGGGACTATCTGCCTAGTTAATTTCCACCTGCCTTCTGCAGTTTCCCCTTGTTCCGGGTTTAGTGCAGACCCAGTGGGAAGCTGTCTCTGGATAGAGGTCACTGTCTTAGGAGCCCCCAGATAGGAGGTGGGATGGGAGGTGGAGCTGCTGACTGCTGTGGCGTGTGCTTCAAACAGAGGGCAAAGCAGAACCAGGGGAAGGAAAAAAAAGTAGAGATGCTGAGAGCTTAAGGGAGAGGGCAAGAGCCACAGCATCAGCATCATCAGAAAGGGAGGAGTGAAAGAACGAGGAGAGAAGCAGGGAGGAGGGATTGAGAAGTGGAAGATCATGTGGCTCTGGGGAGTCTTTCTCTCTCTGCAGCACCATCTGCCCAGCGTCCTTAATTCCCCTCCACCCTTGAGAGCTCCCACCCACCCTACATCAAACAATACGCAAGCATCATGAGCTTCCTAGCTGATTCCTGCTGCTTCTGTCTTTGCTCTGAGGAGACTCCATTCATTAGAAAACTGACAGCTCAAACTGTCCCAGGTGAGAGGAGCCAGCACCACGGAGGAGGGGAAGCTGGATTTCACCGGCAGGCAATCCCTTTAGTGGGGCAGGGATGAGAAGATAGGCCGGGGCTGGAGGTGACTGTGACAACCCAGCAGTTTGGAGAGAGAGGCTGGAGACAACAGCACCTCTGAGAAATGGGTATCCCTGAGCCTCCAACCCCCTCAACTCACACACATGTACATACAATTCAACTGGCAACCCAACAACTTCCCCATCTCCATTTGAGAAGGTGCCAGAAAGGTTTCTGTGGGCACAGCCCTCTCTCTTCTCTCCAAGAGAAGGTGCTAGGTCAGGTGCTAGCTATTCTCCCTCTAGTTGCCCCCTCTGCAATGCAGATAAGGGCAGGAGAAGCATTACTGTTTCAGGAAATCTTCTCGAAGAAACCCCAAGGCAGCGGGGAACACACAACATGTGAGAAGACACTGCTGCTTCTACCCCAGACTCCGCAGCAGTGCTGTCCAACTGAAATATAATGTGAGTCACCTATGTAATGTCCACTTTTCTAGTATAGTCACACTTAAAAAGTAAAAAAGACACAAAAAGTAAAAAAAAAAAAAAAGCACCATTAATTTTACTAACATCTTTTATTTAATCCAATGTATATTCTAAAACATTATCATTTCAACATGTTATCAATCTAATAAGATTATTAATGAATTATTTTTGCATTAGTTTTTTCACAGTAAATCTTTGGAAAAACAAACAACCAAACCCATTGCTGTGGAGTTAACTCCGACTCATAGTGACTCTATAGGACAGAGTAGAACTCCCCCATAGGGTTTCCAAGGCTGGTGAGTTGGTACTGCCGACCTTTGGGTTAGCATCTGATTAAAAATGGAGGTTCCAGATTTCCTAGTTCCTCTCCTGGGTTCTAACCTCAACCACCTCAGATTAGGGAGGCTGCTCAGGATTTTCATTATGGAGAGACAATCTGTGAGCTGTGTCAGATTCCAGGGTAACTTGACTCTACCCACCTTCTGCCCTACCCCAGCTTGACACTACCTTCTTGAGGTCATTCCATCCCTCTTTCCACCCCTCTTCTCTTCCACTTCAGACATGGTCTCACCAATGCTGAGAAACCTCTGGACTCAAAGATGTTCTAGCACCACTGCACCATCTCCATCTCGGTCCCTGACACATTCTATCTCTAATTTCTGACTTCTATTTCTTTTCCTTTGCTGCACTGGATCCCCAATTCAAAGATGAGAGACCTGCTGCAAGGTAGTGATTTTCAACTTTTTTGAGTCACAGACACCTCCAAGAATACCTGGTGTAAGGTACAAGCTCTTCTTGAGAATCTGGCGTTAGCTAGAATAAAAATCTTGTCCACATTCATTCTGAAGCCATCATAGACCACAGAATGCAATTTAAGAACCTCTGCTGTGAGGAACCTCAGGTAGCTGGGAAACAGCTGAGAATTGATGCTACCTTTGATCCTCAGAAGGAGCTCTGGTGGCATAGTGCCTAAAGCATTTGACTACTAACCAGAAGGTTGGTGGTTCAAACCTATCAGCCACTCTGTGGAAGCAAGACTGGGCAATCTACTTCTGTAAAGATTTACCACCTTGGAAACCCAAAAGGGGTAGCTAGGAGTCAGAATTGACTTGATGGCAATGGGTTGGTTTTTGCTCCCCAGAGCCCATTAGAGGCAAGAAGAAAAAGCCAGGAAGGAGTACAGCGTAAAGCAGACATTAGCACAGGTAAGAGCAGTGGTAGGGTGGACCCTATAAGAAAACACTTCAGTATTTGCCTCCAGCTTCCCTCCTCTACTCCCTCTCCCACCAGCACCTCTCTTAGGGAGAGCAGGAGACTTTGAGTAAGACTCTTGCTTCAAGAAGGGAGTGTGGTGGTGACTGAGACTTAAGAGCATCTAAGACCAAGACTTCTGAGTTCTCTTCCTCCAAAATTCTCTGTAAGGGGGCCTAAACAGGAAGGTTTAGATCTGAGTGGTGGTGGTGGAAGAGGAAGAGAATCTCTCTCTCCTAAGACCCCTGCTACAACTTCATCAGCTGACCTAAAGACTGAATAGTGGCACCAGCAAAATGTATGATACTAAGGCCTATGCTCGCCATGGCCGGCTCTGGTAAAGAACCTGGAGTAATAAGGGAAAAAAGCATGCCTCTTCTTCAGATACCTGAATATATCCTATGAATGGACCCGACTTATCATAGCGACCCCTCCTTGGGTTTCCAAGGCAGTATCACTATGGAAGGATATTGCCCCATCTTCCTTCTTAGGAGTGACTGGTGGGTTTGAACCGCCAGCCTTCTGGTTAGCAGTCAAGTGCCTTAGGCACTACGCTACCAGAGATCCTGAGCAGCCCCATAGGGTTTCCAAAACTGTAAATATTTACGGAAGCAGACTGCCTCATCTTTTTCCTGTGGAGAGGCTGATGGGATTGAACCACCAACCTTTTGGTTAGCAGCTAAGCGTTTTAACCATTATGCCAACAGAGCTCCTCACATACTGACCCATTAGGGTTGATTCAGAACATGGACAAATGCAAACTAACTGCATTCAGACAAGCCTATGAACTAAGACACCAAAGCTCCCTGAATAGACTTTTAGGAGAGAAAATGACAACTCTGGTAGCATAGTGGCTAAGACACTTGCCTGCTAACCAGACGGCTGGCGGTTCAAACCCACCAGCCACTCCTCGGAAGGAAGGTTGGGCAATCCTACTTCCGTAGTGATACTGCCTCAGAAACCCAAGGAGGGGTCGCTATGAGTCGGGGCCAACTCGACGGCACATAACAACAACAACAACAGCCTTTCACAAGGAGCTTTGGTGGCATAGAGCCTAAGGCATTTGACTGCTAACCAGAAGGCTGGCAGTTCAAACCCACCAGCCACTCCTCAGAAGGAAGACTGGGCAATCTGCTTCTGTAGAGATACCGCCTCGGAAACCCAAGAAGGGGTCACTATGAGCAGGGACCGAGTCCACAGCAGTGAGTAGCCTCTCACAACTCAATCTTTCAATCCTGAGTTGGGGTCTTAACGGAGGAATAAGATGACAAATGACTTTGAGATGACAGTGGCTTGAGAATAAGTCTGTAATCATCCCACCTGAAGTTCTCTCTTCTACTTCCAGCACCTCCTACCCAACCAGTTAGGAATCAACTCTCTTTTTAAAAAGTTTCCAGGAAAAGTAATTGCACCTGGATTCTCACTGCTCTGATAATTAAGAAATCTCTCTGGTGCTTAAATTGTTAATCCTTTTTACCGGACTTCCACTTCATTTCCTCCTTTCTGCCCACCCCCCATCCCCAACTAGAGCTAGAAAATGAAAATGATGGGCCTGTCAGTGGGCCTGAAATTTTTATAGCAACAATGGACATTCTTCTCTGGGTCTGAACTACTGTTTTACCTTTTTTTTTTTTTTTTTTTAGGATTTGGGTGAAGATTTACAGAGTAAATTCACTT